TAAAAAAAATATATAAAGAAAAACTATATGAAAATGGCAAAATTAAAGGAATTAATCTTAAAATTCCATATATAAAATAAAAAACTTGAAACATTTAACAATTTAAAGAATAAACAATAAAGAATAAAGACTACATAGAAAAAATTAAAGAGTGAAAACTTTTAATAATGCATAAATAGTCTCAATTAGACTTGACAATCGGGTCAGCGGATTGACCCATGACTCAACCTAACCCAACCCAGTTTTTTCCAGATCGGACCATTCTCACATTCAGGTAGCTAAATATAAGACCCTAACCCTGTTTTCGGGTCAGGTCGATTTGCGAATTGGGTCAATTTTTTGCCAGGTCTAACTGACAGCATATATGATCTGTCACAGAGATGCGTGATGCTAGGACTAATTAAGATTGTTTTGCGTAAAACATATCTGCATACACTGAAATAGTGAATGAATCTCAAGTTATTTGAAAATTACTTGTAAAGAATTAATGACTGCATTACTAAGTTAATGGCTTGGAATCATCCTGCAGTGTCACATTTTCATATGCACTTGCCTGCATTCTGACTTTCTCACAGGCAAAAATCTGCCTACTCCAACTACGAATGGTTAGGTACCATTTCATATCATCATCACCTCTTGAATAGGCATTCTCTCTCTCTCTGCTCTGTATGTGTGTGATTAGACTGAATTGATGTTTTACCCTTTATCAAACATAGATGAAAGTGGAAATATATTGATAGAATGCCTAGAGAGAATTCAAAGATACATTCCAATAAAGGAATTGGCAAACAAGAAAGCCAAAAAGATTGGCCAGCCAATAAAAGAAATGTTTTAACTAACAGATATGGGCCCTCTTGATTGAAGAGGACTTTTCAAATATCAACTCACACTAACTTTCCATCAAAAACCCTAGCATACACTATGAAATGGGGTAAGCTAGTTACAAGGTGGATGTACTTTAATGCATTAAAGGGGAAAAATAAAGAAAAAAGAAAAAGAAATTCTACTACTCCTTTTTTTCATTGTTGTGAAGTGATAATGATCATGTATTTGACTAAAAATTCAATTATTCAGCATCTCATATATATTCTCACCATCATTCATCTATAAAAATTCATGTAATATGAAGTTCTATACTCTATAGAGAAAAAATTCCCTCAATTTCCTGGGTTCCTATTATCTGCTGTTTTTTTTTTTTTTAATTAGTAATGCATCAAGAAACTACTGCTTTGGTTGAGAAGTTCACAAAATACATTTCTGTTCTATTTGGATCTGGAGTGCCATGACTTTAAATATTACAGCATTCATCAACAGAAATAAGCATTTACATTGAGACTCTAATGACTCTGTTGCCTTGATCACATTTTCTCCCCCTTCCCCCCTTTCATTTACATTTGGGGTTGATCAACTTTAACCAGGCTTAACCTAAACAGAATCATCTGCTCTTACATAGTGAACCAGTCGACTCTGTGAACTGTCCCAGGCCTTGGTTGATAGTCTTGGAACAATATCATTCTGAAAATGCCACTATAAAATCTTCTGTGACGCTTCAAACAATGCATCAGTGGAATAATATAAAGATCCAAAGTGATAAACCACCATTTCAATAAATATTATACAAGATAAAAAAAAAAAAAAGTTATCATCAGTGGTTAGAACATGCAGACACCATCCCTAGGAGCAGATTCTGCCCCCGGCCTCTTCATTGCATATGGGCATGAAGAAACACCCATTTATAGAAGAAAAGTGCTGAACCAGAACCACCACCAAGGAAAGCCCAATTGATGGAGCTTATAGTCGGTCATAAAAGAAAACTTCAAAAAGAGGCACGCGGGAGGGTGTAAATTTTTTTCCTTTCCGCCCCTTTTACATTAAAATATTAACATTTTCAGAGAAAACGCCACTCATGAAAAATGTGATCATCGTGTCGTTTTTTCTTTTTCTGGTATATATCATCATCGCGAAATTCAACTGCGTAATTATTGTAGCTATTACAATGAATGGAGACTCTTGACCAACTTAAAAAACCAAATAATGGATTAATGGGATATAGTCTAACTATGGGCACTTGTGCTTCCTAACACAATTATTTTTAATTAGGTTCATTTATTTGGGCATACACCGTATAGAATAACATAGTTATTAAAACCTGTCCCATAGTTTGATATTATTAAAACGCCCCTCATTCCGTCAGGAACCGTTTGCATTTCTGTTTGGAAATAGCTACGTGACCTTCTAAAATGAATTAATGAAAAATAAATAGAAGTACACGGGCCTAGGGTTTTTTGTTCCAAAAATACCCCTGACAAAATCTTTTGCTTTTTCTATTTTATATTTTGATTAATTTGACTATGTTAGGGTCAAAGTGCCATTTCACACTCCATCTAAGAAAAGTAGTAATGAGGGTGTTCTAATAATACTCAAACTAAAGGATAAAGGATAGGTAATCTACTGGGTGTGTCCAAATAAATGGCCCTTATTTTAAATTCACTTATCAGTAACAAATATATTATTTTTATGAATAAATTGAATCATTTTCTTAAGTTGAGTTGGGAAATGAATGTATATTATTCTATTGTTTTAGTTATTGGGTGAACAGATGAAAGCATATTCTCGATTAGTGTTCATATGAATAATCCATATCTCTAGAATGATCTATGTAATTAAAATAATAATTTGTGGAGGGAATGCATTTGTCACAACTAATTAAACAAAGCCATTTTGGTTAGCACTACGAAAATATAAATACAGAATGGCTAAAGAAGATAGCCTTCTGGTTTTGGTGAGTCTGCATTCACCCTCAAGAACCTATTGGTGAGCCCTTTATGCCAAACCTAGTGCCCGTTTGGGAGGGATAATGTTGTATGAGTCAAGAAATTCAGAAAGTTATGAAGTCCTGTTTAATAAAAATCTGAAAAGGCAAAAATAGACTTAGATGAGTCCAAAAATCGACTTTCTGAGAAAATTATCGCTCAAAAGTAGCTCTAACAATGCAGCTCATTAATCACCGCAAAAGCTCTCCCAAACAGGCTCATACTGGCAGCTCTATGTGATTGGATAATTGGCAGAAATAGAATTTAATTCCCAGAGTGGATTCCGACATAAAGGAACACTGAGCTTAAAATAACCAGTTGTGAAATTCCAGACTGCTACCCGAATAGTGAAATCTGGAAACTAGCAGTGTTGACAGCAAGTAATTCCATGGTTTTTAAAAAACGAACCGGTGACTGAACCGATCAGGGGTTTGGTTGTCAGTTCGAACAGTTCGATCGTTCAACCCGAATGGCCAGCTCGTTCTGACAAAAAAAAAATAAAAAATTTTAAAAATTTGAAAAACAGTCAAAACCATTCGAGCGGTTCGAATGATTAATCGGCTGGTTCAACGGTTTATTGACCAAAATCAATGGTTTTGAAGAAAAAAACGATTTTAGAAAAAAACAGAACCAATCAAATAACCGATTCCCAATTTTTCCGGTCCGATCCAATTTTGAAAACAGTGAGTAATTCCATTTACACATTTCAGACCTTTTCTAATAATTCTGAATTCTGTGTAAACTGAGTTTACGGACCAATTTAAAATTTGAGTGGGCGGGTGGGATGCCGGCCGGTTGTTCATTTTCAATTAATTTGGCCAGCCCACAGATTGCCACCTTTGGCTTGGATATCTAAAAGAACCAAGAAAGCTATACTGCTATAGGTTCTGTTGGGAGACTGACTCTAAACCATACATGTCTCTTATTTTTTGAGTATCAGCACACATCATTATATTAATAGTTCCACTGAGGAGGAAATAGGAATTCACATCTACACCTCATATAGCGCACCTCACAATATATCCCAATCATATATCGAGAACATATTCCATTGAAAAAAAGTAAGAGAGATGTTACCACTGCACACGCTAAAGTGAGATGTGCTTATGGAGCATTTGTGGGGCGCTCTCCAAAGGGCACAGATGTGAACTCGCGAAATGGTTGCCCTAAAAATCAGCATGAAGAGAAGGGTTAATTGTATAACTATTTCATTCATACAAGAATTTTGAGCTTTCCAGGGATGCTGAAACTCCTTTCCACCATGTTTTCTGTGTAACTTTTTGGATCCTACCCCATCTAGGAGGTGATCAAAATTGAATGGTCTGGATTGTGTGGCCTGATGGGCGTGGACCATCGGCTGCGCACAGGGTCATCAATCTGACCCTTCATCATTTAGATGGGACCCAGGAAAAGGAAAATGTACAATTTCATCATGTTTGAGATTTTCCATTCAAAAGCATTATTTTCAGAGCAAAACATTACTTTGGATGCTTGTCATACTCACTCGAATTAAAAACAGAAATAGCAAGAATGCAAATATGGATCTTCGGGCTGAGTTTGAAAGGAGTATAAATTCAAAATATGTAGAGGGTAAAGCCTTATATTTTGTTATATTATATTGTATGTATTTACGTTGTAAAAGAAGTACATTTGCCACGTGGAGAGGATGATATAACTAAATTGAACCATGGATCAGATTAGGGGCCCCTAGATTGGCCTTTGTTCATTAGCTTTAATACTTGTTGAACAAAAATGGAGAGAGAGAGAGAGGTGAAATAAATAGATTAAAATTTTGGCATGGTCGTGACTTTGACGAGAGGCCACTAAAAAAAAATTTCCAATACATAAAAGATAGTCCCACTATGTCTATGCTGTTACTCTACCTGTTGAATCGTTGACACCATTGAAGGTTCGAAATAGTAAATAAGGACGAACCAGAGAGGAGTTCGTTGTCGCCAGATGGCAGAGGGTAATTGGGTTACGAGTCACGCGGCTAACATAAGGATTCCGTTTGGACCTATAATTAGATGCCACGTGGAAGATTCTCGGTTTCTTTTCCTGGGTGACTCGACCAGCGAAACCGTCCCCACCGAAAAAAAAAAGAACTAGGCTTTAGATTGGAGAAAAAGAAGGTATAAGACAAGAAAATGAGAGAAGCAATTGCAAAGAATTGATTAGATGGCCAAAATGGAGGAGACAACGCGTATAGGATTACTCTGAATAAATTGAAGAAATCAGACCTCCGCATATATATTTACTGCAGAGGCCAGAGAGAGAGAGAGAGAGAGAGAGAGTGAGGGGGGGGGGGGGGGGGGGGGGGGGGGGATGGAGATGGACATTTGTTCGGCTCTTCTCCAACACCAAGCAACTGTGGTTTAAGCAGACAAAAAGAGGTGTTTGGGATAAAAGGGAGGATATTCAAAGAAAGGGTGTCGGGTTATGCTTCTCGACACAAAATCTTCTTGTGTATCTTCCACTTTTACTAATCCTTCACTCTCTCTAGTTTTCTGTATATAATTCTTTTTTCTTTTTTACTTCGAATCCTTTCTTCTTTGTTCTTTCTGGTTCTGGGTATCACTTCCTTCACCTTCTTTCTAAATTGTCTCAGGAGAATGGAAGCAAATGAACAGGTGCCTGCAATGAGTGAAAAGAAAAGGAGATTCAAGAGGATTTGTGTCTTCTGTGGGAGTAGAGCTGGATACAAATCTACATTCAGTGATGCAGCTCTTGATCTTGGTAAACAACTGGTAATGACAAAATTGCATATTTTTGGCTATTCAGTATGATTAACCTTCTGTGTCCCCCTCTTCTATTTTCCTATTACACTTGAAGTTTCTTTCTAGTCGCTTCTGAATTATCCTTGTGATGATCTTCTACTCAGGTTGAGAGAAAAATTGATTTGATTTATGGTGGAGGAAGTGTAGGTCTGATGGGTTTGATCGCTCAGACTGTTTTTGATGGTGGTTGCCATGTACTTGGGTATTCTTTTATACATCGATCCCATGTCCATTTTTCTGATGTATATATAATTTATGATTCCTGTGAACGTTTTGCCTGCTTATGCCTTTTTCTTTGTTTATGATTTCTGTAAACAACTTGCCTGTTCAATTACACTTTTTCTTTTTCTTTCTTGTAGAGTAATTCCTACCGTTCTCTTGCCACATGAGGTAATGCTTTATCTACACTTTCTGCATATCTTTCATGTATGAAAATTTGCCTTCATGAGCTAACTAAATGACTCAAAGCCCACTTGCAGATATCAGGAGAAACTGTTGGAGAAGCAAAGACTGTGGCTGATATGCACGAAAGGAAGTCGGAAATGGCGAAACATGCCGACGCTTTCATTGCCCTTCCTGGTTTGTTCAGATGCCAGTACACCCATTTTGTCTTTCTTTCTTGCACTAATGTCTCCTGATACTAGTATCCAATTCCAACTTGTTTAGGTGGTTATGGCACCATGGAAGAACTGCTGGAGATGATAACATGGTCTCAGCTTGGAATCCATGAAAAACCAGTATGATTATGATTGATGTTCAAACAATCTCTTTTCTTCTTTGTTTCCATTCTTTCTCTCTTTCTTAACTAAATTTGGAAAATGGGTTTTCATTAATTTCATTCTTCGCCTTTTTTTTTGAATCTGGAATAGGTGGGGTTATTGAATGTTGATGGATATTATGACTGCTTGCTTGCATTGTTTGATAAAGGAGTAGAAGAAGGTTTCATAGAGGATTCTGCAAGACATATTGTAGTCTCAGCAGACACAGCAGAAGAACTGATCAAGAAAATGGAGGTGAGAAAGACAAAATACATATTTAATTTAAATTGTATTATTATATATAATCTATATATTGCAGCGCATCTATGTACCTATGGTAGGGCAGGTTGTTGAATTATTGGCTTGGATGACAAAAGAAAGTTGCAGAAAAAGGTAGGGAATGATTTGGTGCTGTTTTCATTGTAATTATTTGCAGGAGTATGCACCACTTCATGACAAGGTTGCACCAAGACAAAGCTGGGAGGTGGACCAGTTAGAGTCTACCACAAGTGGGCTTAATTTATGATCTAATATCCACCTTACCAATTTGTATATGTTCAACAAATATTTGTAGTTTCATCATCTCAACAATTAAAACAAGAAAAAAAAAAGAATTAATTAATTAGTCCTCTCTTTCTTTCTCCTGTGGCTATTGACTCTTTCAAATGAACAGTTGCATATACAAGTCTCAAACGAGGGGAAGAAAGGGATGAAATTAGGGTACACTTCTGTATCTTATTTGCTCATCATTTTTAGGGTGTGGCCCTACAGGCTTGTCCACTTCTTTTCTTTCCTTTGTGGAATGGATCTTTAATTCGTTTGTCACATTCAGATTTGTGGGTGGGATCCTTCGGATGTGTTTGATTGTTCACTCAACTTGTGTTGTTTGTTGTGGATCAACATGTATTACATTTGGGTGGAACTTTTGGTTAATGAAATTAATGGTCAAAAAGGCATTCATTTTGATTATTTATTATGGTTAGTAGCCACATCTGTTACATGTGGTGGTGCAATAAATTCCCTTCTACATGCGCAATAGTGGAGATTAAGGCCGGAGGAACATTGAATTAACAAGTTGTCAATCATGTTTAGTGAATTTTTTTATCTCTTGGGTATCTTCTATATGATCCCTCAATCATTGTTCCTATAGAACCTAAATGTTTTGAGAGAAAACAAATAGTAGACCACTAGGATTGTCTATAGTTTATATATACTACATTGTTGACCTGACCCACTAACCCACCCGGACCAATCTCGTGGTCCATTTAGCATTTTTTTTTTGTTATTATATTTGTATAGATTATCATGACCCATTCAACAGTCAGGGTGGGTTTGGGTCGAGCAATAGCTCCTAGCTAGGAAACCCTTTTTTTTTAGGATAACTAATGCTCCTTAGGAAACCTAGGTAGCCCACTTTAATTTGGTCTTTTTCTACAGGTTTGAATCAACACATTTGACCCGTTCAGTGATCTAGTAATGGATAGGATTGATCAGGTCTCTAGTCTCTACATCCATCATTTAACTTATACACAAGTTAGGTTCTCCTTTTTTTTTTTTCTTTACCCTTTTTAGGTCAACAGAAAGTTAGCCTATAGGTGGGAACAATTGAAGGTTGGACCACGCATAATGGTCTTTATGTTCTACTAAATGGGAACCTTGGATTTTGTAATAAATATTTGAAAATCTCATTAAAATAAAGTAATTTGTTCATCATAGTTTTTTCTTCAATTCTACATTTAAATAAATATCAGTTATATGATCATAATTTAAATAAATTAAATAGTTTATGCTAAGCAACCCTGGAAAAGCCTAAAGCAAACTTTCGAGTTGACCCCCTTTTTTTTGTTGTAATACGGCATGTATTAAAAAGGTTATACCATGGGAAAATCTATGATGAAGAAAAGATATGGTATGGAAAGATACGGCATGTAATAACTTATTTGTTATCACATTTATGATTGTAGTTTATTGGTCAATTGTTTTTCGAATATTATATCTTTTCCATATCATAGTCGAACCCTTATACTATACATATCTAATGAAAAAATATTGCTTAGGGAGGGGATGTCATTCCAGCATAAGGATGGGGTTTTTCCCCCTGTAAACACCAACATGTGTTTAGAAAGAACAAGAGAGTTTTTCTTTTTCTTTTTCTAAAATAAGCTAACAAGGTAGTCATAAGACCTAAATTTAAGTTTCTAATAATTCTTATCCTTTTATTTTTTATTTTTAGTTTTCATTTTATTTTATTTTATATATATTCTTCATTTTATTTGACAGCACAATACTTAGCTCAGTTACTTTAATTTTGTCCATGACATTTGTTGTGTCTTCAATTGAGAAGAATGGGAACTCTACCCTCCCATGACAATGGCTAAAATTTATTTTCACATAAAAGGACGAACCCTTTTGTGTAAAGCATTTTTTCCACATGTATGTTTGGTTTTCGTACAATAATTACAAGGTAGATGCTCTCTTTTATTAATAAGAACAATGCTTTTGTATTTTTCCTTTTATTTAGGGTGGTGGGGTATCAATTTCCTGTCTTTTGTTTCACTCCTTTTCAAAAGTTTAACGATCAAGAATATACATCAGAAAAAAAAAGAAAAAAAGAAAAATATTATTATTGTAATGATGATGATTGTCATGGTGGTGATGTAGAGGATGAAGATGGCAATGGGGATGATGATGGTAGTGGTGGCAATGAAAAATGGCAACAAGCCAACAACAATGATGATAGATGTATAATACATGTATACGATGATGGTAGTGGTGATGGTGGGGTGTTGATGATGATGATGATGATGGTTGTAGTTAGGTATTGTTGTTGATGATAAAGTCATAGTGGTGGTGCTGTTTGAGCTTATAATGGTTGATCGTGATGGTTACATATCGTAAATAGTGCCTATCATGATGATTAATTAAAAAAAAAAAAAGCTTTGTAATTACTTGTAATATAAAGCTGATGAACTAATTAAATGACAGTAAAATAAGAGATTAAGGACCCCCCCCCCCATTTGACTAGTGTTCAAATAGAAAAATGTCTATTATTTGTTGTGATCATGCATTGGTGATCCATCCTGTAGTTTATCTCATAAATGAAATTAAGTTGATGGTTTCATGGAGGAGCGTGAGATTTCACAACAAATAATCAAGGTGTCTATGGTCGATAATTTTAGTTTCACTTCTATCATATCAACGTATATGTGCAAATTAACCATATGATCAATATAGACAATTGGAGATTATTCAATGTCTATACCCGCATATCTTATCTCAACCTTTTTGATTGTTATATATTCAATTAAAATAGACTGGTTTTACTCCTTCATGGTTTATGATTTTGCTCTTCATTGTGATATATTAAAGTTCAATAGTGTTTTAATTACTTTTAGTAATGTTTTAAAAACTGACTCGGAACCAGAATCATTCTGGCCACTAGTTTTCGGGTCGACGGTTTGAATTCGGTTCGAACAGATAACTCTTTTGACAAAATAATTAAAATAAAATAGTCAAAAATCGTTGAATGAATCGAGTATTTGACCACCTGGGCCAACAGATCATTGACCAATTCAATGGTTTTTGGCAAGGACGATTCCCAGTTACCTAAATGGTTCCCAGGCTAAATGATTCAACCTTCCAGGTCAACGGCGATTCGAAAATATTGACTTTTAGTAGCGAATGTGGATATATAGGGGACGGGATCATTGCAGCAAGCTTCTTTTGAGGTCATTTGGTACATGTACACCCATACATGAAAGCTATAAATCAAAAGAAGATGTAACACAAAAGAATTTATAAAATAAAATTCTAAATCTCTAACTGATACAAATATATCTATACATACATACATACATGCATATATAGATATATACATGCATATATATATATATATATAGATAGATAGATAGATAGATAAATAGATAGATAAATAAATATAAATTATCTCGAATGTGGTCTACATACTGACTAGGCTTGGACCAAGCTAGAGATTTTGCCATTTTTGTGGATGCCCTAGTGGTCAATCGGAAGAAAACTAGGGTTTTATGGTTGAGCAACATTTGGACTATAGGTGAACAAGGGAGCATATATGGGGTCAACAATGTGGGTATAGAGGATTAGGTTTTGTGGAATAATGCAATCACCTAGCACTATCCAGACCCACAAGTACATATACAAAGGACGCGTGGGCACCACCATTTCTCAGCTTTGCTTGGAAACTCATGGGTCAAGGTGTCTTGGTCAGTAAGTGGGTATGGGTCATGCAATGCCTCTAATGCCCCCCCCCCCCCAGTACTTTCGACTCTAGGGGTACCAATAGTTTCAATGCCAAATGGAACCAAGCATTCTCAGTTTCTCATGGATTTTCTTTCCAAGGAAAATAATTACATCTGCAGTGTGGTTTTCAAGTACTCAAGTCCACCATAATCCAAATTAATATGGTGAATGTCTTACTTCTATATATCTTTCTATAAAATGCATATATTTCAATTGGGGAATTAGTCCTGCTATTCATAATATGCTACTCTCATGAGAATCTTGTATGTGCTACTCGCAGATCAGGACTCTCATTTGGTTTCGATGCAGATTCAAATCCGATGCAAAAATTGCATTCAGGTCAGATTTGAATATAGCACACTGGCTGTGTTTGGTTGCAGTGTAAATCTTGATTGAGTGCAAAAATTTGTACTTGGTCCAATTTTGCTTTTGTTTGTTTGTAATTATGATTGCATTTCTACATAATATAAAATCTGTACTTTTTTGTTTCTTTTGCATTCACTGGCAGTACAAATTTTGCATCCCAAAAAAAATGATACAAAATTCGCATCACCTTCCTTCTACTTCAATTATTTATCATATGAAGTGGGGACTACATCATCTTGCATCCTACCTTACTCCTAGACAAATAACCTCTCTGCCACCTCCATTCTCTTTCATTTAAAAATGGAGGTTAGTTCATCTTACGTCTGTCTTACTTTAATTCTCACAAGCAAATAAAACAATGCCAAATATGAATCGAAGGTAAACCAGAATTTACACTCAGCCCTTTTAAACTCCAATGCATTTACACCAGTGCAAATAAAATTTGTACTGCAACCAAATGCAGCCTTTACTGAAATGTTTGCATTTATTGGCTCTCTAATACAATGTGGATACTAATATCATTTTACTTGGCATTATACTCCTCCCAAATAAACAGCCTCCCTTTTACCTTCATTTTGCTCCTTTAAAAGCGGGGATCAAATTCGCTTCCCATCCTACTCCTCTCAAACATATAAAGTGAAAACTAAAATAAAAATAAATCAGTATTTGCACACAACTCATTTTTAAACCCCATGAGTTACAAAATACTTTTCATATAGTTCTGTAGGTGTGGTGTAAATCAATCTATACCACACTTTTATTTCATGTATCTCATATACATTTTATAGGAGATCTACATAATCAATCATAAATGTTTAATTTTTGCATTTTATATGGTAAATAAATTGAAAAAAAAAAATGCATCAATATGTAGACAACATTTGCATTTTTTAAATAATCATAAAATATTAAAAAATTAAAAATTAATATTTTAAATATTATTTTATTGATAAAAATATTAAAAAATAATATTTAAATAATGAAAAAATAATTGAAAAGGAGAACCGTCGAACTTGTGCTAGAATTAACATTAAAATTTATTATTTTATTGATAAAATATTAAAAATAAAAAATTTATTAAAAAATTAAATAAAGTTAAAATAATTGGACCAATTGCGTTACACTGAAACATTCTCACAAACTATCCACACCATAGTGTGGACCATCCACGAGAAAATAATGTGGATAATAAATTGGGTTATGACCTGTCCCTATCCATGCTATTTTGTGGATGGGGACCATCCACACATAGTAGAGAATCATATTTTATCATGAACAAGACCAAAACAATCTCGTCCACAATATTTACACACTACCGAATGCCA